ACTTGTGAAAGGGCAGAAGAGTTGGTAGAGGGGACAATGTGGAAGGCCTGGAGATCCCTGGACTGTTCAGAGGCTGTCTTTGGCTCTTGTATTTAACTTAGCTTCTAAGAGCAGCTCAAGCTGGGGCATGGTGGCACATGCCTATAATCCTAGTACTTAGGAGGCTGTTGTGGAGGATCATTGCAGGCTCAAGAACAGTTTGTACTATGTAGTAAACTCCAGGCCAACCTAGGCTACATAGGGAGACCTGGTTGTCTTGAGGGTGGGCAGGGGGACATTTCAGAATCTCCTATCAACTGCCCTGCTGAGGTGGAAAGGGAACAGAATGAGACAAAGGAAGCTAGAAATAGAATCATCTCTTCGCAAGATGGGTATGGTATCAGTGAGTATTATTACCTGACTCTACAATTTTATCAGCCAGTAAGAGTTGAAAACATTATGTAAACCTTTCCCCTCTTTTCAAGAATGTGGTATGATGTACATGTATACTGACACGTGTGTGGGTGCACATGCGTGTGGCAGTTGATGTTGAGGATTATTCTTGACAGCTCTTCCACCTTATTCATTGAGGCAAGGTCTCTCAAATGAACCTAGAGCTTGTCAATATGTTAGTCTCGCTAACCATCATGTTCTGGGGATCACCTGTCTCTACTGTCTTTGGTTGAAATTACAGGTAGGTCACCACAGTCACCCAGCTTTTACAGGGGTTCTGGTCATCTGAACTCTGGTCTTCATAATTGCCTGGCAAGTGCTTTAACCACAGTCCTAACTCCTCGAGGGAGTGACAACATCTCCTTCTCTGTGTGCCGATGGCTAGCACAGGACCTGGACAGAGAAGGCACTGGACTTGGTATAATTTGCTGGATGTGGCTGGCGACTGATGTTCATGGGAAAAGACAGGGAGCCTTAGAATACAGACTGCCACCTGAAAAACCAGGTCTCTTGGTGACATGAACTGGTGGCTCCAAGACTTACTATATTCCTTGGGCACTGCACCCCAGCTCTTCACCTTTGCCTCCCACCACTTGCCCAGATGTCTGGTCAAAGCTGCTGTATCTATCACACTTTGTGCTTTGGAACCTCTCTCCAAATCCCCTCGGCCTTGGTCTAAAAATGTTACTTCATTTTTGGGACCTTAGGGTTCCCCTTTGACATGAGGACAATGGCCAGCCTTACAGTGCCAAGGAAATCAAGCAGCTCACGGAGAAGAGGGGAGAGCTGCATAGCTGGTGTGTTTGGAATGCAGGACCCGGGGAATACAGGAGTCAGGAGTCAAATGGATGCCACTGGTCATAAGGACAGGCAGAGACTTGGTACCTTCTCACCCTTCCTGCTAGGTCAGACGTTCAGACAGCTTCAAAGAGCCTTCCTTAACCTGGCTTATGGGCGGGACTAGTGTCTCTCCGGCCACACCTTCTCTCAAGCATTTGTCATACTGAATTATAAGGATGGATTAGCAGACTATTAGGCTACTGAAGAGTGGTGGAGTGTCTCACTCATCCCTCCATGATCAAAGGGATGCAGGCCCAGGGGGACCAAGGTGCTTGCTCCTCTTCCTCTGGCTTCCCAGCTTCCAGAGGGGTCTTGCTGACAGATGCTCCCTGGCAGTTCTGAGCTGCCCAAGCCCAGCAGCTGGCCCTGGTCTTCCTTGTTGGCGTGGCACAGGCCAGGGTTTCTAAAAGGCTTGGATTTCAAGTAGACAAAGAAAATCATTAAGGACCCTAATATAAGCAGATCTCTCGAGGTGGAAAAAAAAAAAACAACAACAACAGAAAACCCCACCCCACAAGCAAGCATGGCTGGATCTTTGAATGCTGGGTACTAGCGTAACTTGCGAAGGAGTTTCTGCCGTTTGCAGAAGCTCAGAGGGTGACTACTTAACACGTAACTCCTCAGAGGTTTTTCTTCTATGACCGGGTACCACCTCCAAACTGACCCAAGTCCTCACTGGCTTCTTTCCACACCTCCCCAAGCCAAAATTGTGTTTTCAAAGTGTTCCCTAATTAGGCTCCTTCTCTTTCCCTGAGGAAAAGTTACAGCAGCTCGCTTGTTCCTATTTGTCTTAGGGAACAAAATAATAGCATCGTATAAGATTATTCTAAAGATTAAATGAAATGAAATGAAATAAAACCCCCAAACCCTGGCACCCAGGAAGATCGCCTTCCCTCCAAGGCCATGGGATTTCAGCAGTCTAATCCAGCCTCAAGGCAACCAGACACTCCCTGGAAACCAGGGAAACTCCCTCCCTCAGGGTGAACAGGGAGGAGAATCTCATTTGATTGCCAGGGAAATGCGCTCACCAGCGGGATGAGCCAGAGGCAGAGACAGGCAGTGGCCAGGATGTGCCATAACTTGAATAAAAAGTAGAGATCTCGGTCTTTCTATAACTAAATTTCTTTTCTGCTCCGTGCCTGTTTCCTTATCTGTAAAAGACGGCGCTGTACACACCCCTATCAAGCCACACAGTCTACTTCAGCTCCCTCCAATCAAACTTTTGCATTAAAGCAAAAGTAACCTCTCATTTCCGGCTCAGTCACCCCCTCTAAACCTGCAACCTACCTTCCACAGGCGCCTTCCTAAGTACAACCTCAAAACTCCCTTTTCTTTCCAGCACAGCCTTGGCATTTAAGCAAATGCTTGAAGGGCAGAAAAATCCACAGCTTGGCTATTTAAGGCTAGTGCCTGGCACACAGCAGATATCCTGGAAATAAGTATCAGGTCAATCTGCACACACAGGACTGGTTCACAACGGCAAAAGATTCTGCTAAATATTTATTTAAAGAGCTAAGAAAGCCCCACAATACTGGACGGACCTGTCATAGAGGTTGCAGTGGAGCAGGGAGGGCCTTGTGTCTGCCATCTTCTAAGAGGGGCACATGATGGATACCACAGCTTGCGACCATACTAGATCCACTCAAACTCCTCACAGAATCCTGCCACAGCATGACAAAGGACAGCAGGTCAGGGAGGCACATTGGTTCAGAGCCAGGGCTTCAGCGTATGGATTCTAGCTCCGCTATTTACTAAGTGAGGCAACGAACTTAACTGTCCTGCATCTTGATTTCTTTTTCTCCAAAGACAAGGAAAACATCTGTCCCATCTAGGGGTGGTGAAAAACAAGGGGTCAGAGTGTGAGATGACTTAGGAGGAAACAGTGTTTGCTGACAACCTCAGTGCTACCCTTGCTCTGTGCCTCAGTTTCCTTACTGTGAAAGAAGGTGCTGACACAAGCCTACTAAGCCTCAAAGACTCTTCAGCTCCCAGCAGTCAAACTTCTTTGCATTCTGACGCCAAAATGATAATAATAAAAAAACCACTCTCACTTCCTGCTCCAACCAAGAGACTGCCCATCCCAGGTTTTTCTCCCCCTCTGCCATTCCAAACCTACAACTCACCTCCCACAGAGAGGTAGAAACAAATTCCTTCAAGTTATCCCCCCCCCCTCTCTCTCTGTGTGTGTGTGTGTGTGTGTGTGTGTGGACACACACACAAATAATAAATGGATATTTTTTAAGCAAATGAGAAAGTCACTAACACAATGGGTGATGTGTCACAAACACTAAGTAAATAAATTTGGTGAATATTACAGCTCCCTCCAGCTGTAATCCTGACCTTTGACCCCAGCTACAGTCTGTTGCCCAGCACTGCCACCCACTTCTTTTTCCTTTTCTTTTTTTTTTTCTTTGTATCCAGCCTTGCCGTTTTCTTCAGCACAGTGTAGTATACAAAGAAAGCTTAGTTGGACAAGAAACAATAATTCTAGAAGGAAGGTGGAAGTCCCGGCCCTGAAGAGCTAGCTTCCCCTCTGGCAACCCACCTTAGCCCACAGCCTAGGTCACTCCCACGAAGAAGAGTCCCTCACTGCCCTTCTAGTATCTTTTGTCCTGTTCGGCCTCCAAGAAAAAGATGACTCTAATTACACTCGTGAAGTTGAATTCAAACAGTGAACCCAAGCCTCTGGACAGCAAGGGCTATTGATGTGGCTTAAGAAATCCCCGTGAAGGGTTGACTAAGCAGCTCAGGGGGCGAAAGGACTTGCCACCAAGCCTGAGTACCTGAATCCAACTTCTAGAACCCACATGGCAGAAGAAGAGAACCAACTCCCCAAAGATATCCTTTGACATCCCTATGTGCCATATACCCTAACACGATAAACACCCATGATCAAAGTATATCACCGCACAGTGTTTGGCAAGTAAAAGCATAGGCTGTCCTATTAAATCCGAATTCAGGCAAACAAAGAGCCACTTTCGGCATCAATGTACCCCATGCAGTATTTGGGATAAACTGATACTAAAGAACTAACTGAAGTTCAGATTTAATGCAATAGCCCACATTTTACCTGGAAACTACCCAAGTACCCGAGGGCACAGAGGAAAAGACTGGTCTTTCACCTACCCTACAGCCAGCTGTCCAACTTGTATGCTAACCAGGCTCCTTGGAAACATCTTTTAACACCCAGGCAAAGCAGACGGGCTTCCTGAGCGGCTGAGTCCAGTGCCTGCCTTGTGGGAACTCCCAGCTCCGGGCCAAGCCACAGCGAGCCCAAAATAACTTTTCTCA